CCGCGCATGGAGCCATCGCGCTGACCGGGAGCCCTGGCACCGCTGGCAGCTTACCCACTTAAGAAGCGGACCTCGGATGGCAAGTAGCTGTTAAAATATTTGCCTGTAGCTCCGCGTGTTAAATGTCACCCACTGTCCGCACTGCAAACAGTTCAAACCTGAAGGCAAACAGCGGTTGCCTCGGAATGTGGGGCGAGCTGTGGGGGCTCAAGCCGGGGGCCTGATTGGGTCGGCGGGCTCCGGGCCACCCCCTCCCACCCCTCCCGCCCCCATCCTGCCCCCATCCCGCCAGCCCCGGCGTGCGCGCGCGTGTGTGAGCCAGGGTTCAGGGAGCCATGTCCTCTCCAGCAAGGCCAGGGGTTTGACCTCGCACCCAGGTTCCTGTCAGAGCTCTCCCCCCAGCTCCCCCGGGACCAGCCTGGGGGAAGGTTTGTAGGAAACCGCAGGCCTGTCGGGCTGGCTGCCTCTAGTTTTCTATTCAAAACATGTTGCTCCAGGCTACTCAGAGGGGAAACTGAGGCGACCTTGCTGGATCTGTGGAGGGCGCAAGAAAAGGGGCTTGTGAATGTCAATTTGTTACTGTTATTTTTTAAAAAGATACATTTTATTGACTTTTTACAGGGAGGAAGGGAGAGGGGTAGAGAGCTAGAAACATGGACCAGCCGCCTCCTGCACACCTCCCACAGGGGATGTGCCTGCAGCCAAGGTACACGCCCTTGACTGGAATCGAACCTGGGACCCTTCAGTCCGCAGGCCAATGCTCTATCCACTGAGCCACACCGGTTTTGGCTATTATTGTCATTTCTTAATCCTCACCTGAGATTCTTTTTTCCATTGAGGGTGGAAAGGAGGTGGGAATTGGGGGGAGGGGGTGCGGGGGGGGGGAGAGAGAGAGAGGGAAAGGAGAGAAAGAAACATCGATGTGAGAGGGACACATTGATTGGTTGCCTGGTGCACGCACCTGATCAGGAGCAGGGACTGAACCTCCAGCTGAGGCATGTGCCCCTCACGGGGAGTCAAACCTGCGGCCCTTTTGTGCAAGGGCCTGCGCTCTAACCACTGAGCTGCCGGCCAGGGCGGGGCTTGGATGTGGATTTCAGAGTGACCTGTCCTCTGCCCCCTGTAGGCTGGCAGAGGTCGCTCACTCAAGGTCGCAGAGCCGGTGCTGGGCCTGGGGGGCCGGACGAGGTCGTGATAGTCATGGCAGGGAGACCTGTCGCAGGTGCTGAGTCAGACTCGGACCCGCCGCCGTGGCCTCGCTCACGCTGTCACCCTCAGAGCCGCCGCGTCCTCTCTCCCCTGTGACCCTGGGCTCGGTGGCGCTCACGCCCAGGGCTGCTGGCGGCTGTGCCGGGGAGGGCCCGCGGACGGCTGTGCCGGGGAGGGCCCGCGGACGGCTGTGCCGGGGAGGGCCCGCGGACGGCTGTGCCGGGGAGGGCCCGCGGACGGCTGTGCCGGGGAGGGCCCGCGGACGGCTGTGCCGGGGAGTCCCCGCGGACGGCTGTGCCGGGGAGGGCCTGCGGACGGACAGCGAGGGCTCGGGAGTGCCGCTCCGGTGGACGGCTGTGCCGGGGAGGGCCCGCGGACGGCTGTGCCGGGGAGGGCCCGCGGACGGCTGTGCCGGGGAGGGCCCGCGGACGGCTGTGCCGGGGAGGGCCCGCGGACGGCTGTGCCGGGGAGGGCCCGCGGACGGCTGTGCCGGGGAGGGCCTGCGGACGGACAGCGAGGGCTCGGGAGTGCCGCCTCCGGTGGAGCCCGGGCGGAGCATGGGGTGGCGCCCTGGGGAATCAGCCGGGTGGGGCGCTGCTGGGGTGGCGTGCGAGGCCGGCTTTCCAGGTGCCGATTCGTCTGCTCCCCATCCGGGCCCCTGGCCTGGTCCTTGCCTGCGGGGCTCCCGCCGCTCCGGCCGCCCCCTGGAGAACGTGGGTGGGGCCCGAGGGTCAGGTGCCCTGTTTGGGGGCGCTTTTCCCAACCCTGGGCCTCGGTGGGAGGAAAGGAGCTCCTCTGACCCAGGAGGTCTCGGTTCGATTCCCGGTCAGGGCACAGGCCGGGGTTGCGGGTTCCATCCCCAGTGGGGGGCGTGCAGGAGGCATCCAGTCCGATTCTCTCTCATCACCGATGTTTCTCTCTCTCTCTCTCTATATATATATATTCCTCTCTGACATCAATAGAAATAGATTTAGGTTTGTACCCTTGGGTGTCTTTGGGGGCTTGACCTCTGACAGGTTTGTACCCTTGGGTGTCTTTGGGGGCTTGACCTCTGACGCTGACCTACCCCTCCTGCGCCCGGAGGACGCCCAGACGGGAGAGCCGGCACACGGTGCGGCCTGCGCTTCCGCTGGCGGCCGGGATGCGCTGTTCCGGAACGCGCTGCCAAGGAAAGACGGCCAAACAGAAAAGAAAAAAACACAGGGAGCGGGATAGCAGGGGATCGTTTAAACACGTCTATTAACGCGGGTGTTAAGTAAAGCAGCACGCGTGTGCTGGAGGGACGGGCGTCTGGAGAGCTGGCGCGGTGGATGCCGCTGGGATTGCGCCTCCCTCTCCCCCTCCCTCCTCCCTCTCTCCCTCCCTCCCTCCATCCCCTGCCCTCCAGAACGTTTTCTTAAAAGTTTATGTTTTTATTGATTTCAGGGGGGAGAGAGAGAGAAGCAGCAATGAGAGAGAATCATGGAACGGCTGCCTCCCGCACGCCCCCTACTGGGGATCAAGACCCACAACCCAGGCATGTGGCCCTGACCTAAATCGAACCCGGGACTCCTCAGTCTGCAGGCCGAGGCGCGCTATCCACTGGGCCACACAGGCCAGGGCCAGGGCATTTCCTGTCCGGGGAGGAGGCGGTGAGGAGGCGCTGTACAGCCTCTGGCCGCCGTCACCGTGGCTCTGCGTGACTGAGGAGGGGAGGCTCCCGGCGACCACCCTCGCCTCTTCCCTTCCCCGTCCTCGCTGTCGCCGGAGCAGCAGCCCTGGTTTCCGGAGAGAGGGGCTGCCTGGCTTTCCGCGGGGCTGCTCTGCGGCTGGCCGGGGGCTGGCGTGCTCGGATAAAAAACAAGGGACCTAAACATGGAGCATCCCTTAATTGGTGGGAAGCGAGCTGTTTTGATGGGCCACCGGCGGCCACATTGATTTTTCCCGCCTCGGCGCTGCTCCGGGCGGCGTGCTGGGCCCGGGCCCTGCCCCCGAAGGCGGAGGCCGGCTCTCGGGCCTCGGATGTGTGTTCCCAGGAGTTTGGTGTCTGTCAGGTGCGTGTGTGTGTGTGTGTGTGTGTGTGTGCGCGCGCGCGCACGTGTGCCCGTTAGCAGCAGAGCCCTGAGCCCCCGGCTGTTTCTAAATCGGTGCGTTTACAGGACGGGGGCTTTCGCCTCGAAGTGAACGCACTCTCACCTCGTTCTTCTCTCTGGTTTTGGGGACCGGCCCTCGGGGGCCTCCAGGACGCTGCAGGGTTGGGGTGAGGCGCACGTGCACGCACGCCCCTGTGCGCGGGCAGACGTGTTTGCACCGTATCTTGGCTCGGAGCAGCGGGGTCTCCCTTACGTTCAGTCGGCGCCGGTTCCTGGGCGGAGTCTGACGTGCAGGACAGACCGTGGGCGGAGACCCCCGCACGGCGCCCGGGCCCGCTAGTCGGAGTCTCTGTGGGCCCATGGGCAGGTGTCTCCATAGCGTGTTTGGGACCGTGATCTGCGCTCGGCGTTACGTGGGCTTGGTTTGCACGTGGATGGACACCTCCTCCGTGTTTTCTGCTCATCTCTCCGCTGGAGGCCGTGCCGTTCCCCAGGTGCCTCCGGAACTGTCCACAGGGTGTGGGTGCCCCAGGCGCCTCTCCTGTGACGTGGGAACAGCACCCGCGGGCAGGGGCCCCGCCACGGGCCGGCTTCCAGCCGCCGGGCGTGGGAGCCTGAGGAACGGGTCTGCGTGGGTGTACGTGCCTCTGACAGGGGCAGGACGCGCCGCCTGGGTGAGATGCGCTAACCACTGAGCCACCGACCAGGATCTAACCACTGAGCCGCCGGCCAGGACTTCACGCACTTCCCTGTGCGGATTTGGCGCCTGCTTGCGCCGTGCTCAGCGGAGAGGAGGCACGTTGTCGGAAAGACACCGGCCCGGCGTTTCGAAGGCTGGCTCTCCCCATCCATGCGGGTTCTGGGCCGGGGAGAAGGCGCAGGTGCGCCTGACACGCGCGGGTGGACTCCGTGGCCCTGCCGGCAGCTGCGCTTCCGGTTCCCTGAGCCAGGACTCTGTGCCGGAGCCTGCCTGGGCTTGGTGTGCGTGTGGTGGGGGGATGGAGAGTAGCAGGGTGAGGGGGGCGCGAACTTGGCCATGTGATCTCCCACCCCTACGTTCGATGCTCTGGGGGAAAGGAAACGTGTTGGTGCGTCAGGAACAGCGGGTGGCGGCTCCGCAGACAACGTGGGCGAACGGGTTTGCGGGAGACACATCTAAGGCGTCACCTCCCTGGCGGGCCCCAGCCCCGGCGTCCGTGCACTGGGGGCCCATGGCAGGCGGGCCCCAGAGGAGATCTGAGCCAACAACTCAAGAGTCTAGTTGGTGCCCTGGCCGGTGTGGCTCAGTGGACAGAGCATCGGCCTGCAGGCTAAAGGGCCCCGGGTTCAATTCTGGTCAAGGGCATGAACAATGGTTGTGGGCACATCCACAGGAGGGGGTGTGTCGGTGGCGGCTGATGGATTTCCTCTCTCATGGATGCTTCTGACTCTCTTTCCATTTCCCTTCCTCTCTGTAAAAAAATCACTAACATATATTAAAAAAAAAAAAAAGAATCTAGTTGAGAATGAGGGTACCGCATACTACAAACCCACCCAAACCCCAATATTAACCAACCGAGAGGCGTGCTCAGTGCACTCTGGGAGGCCGGCAATCCAACGGGTCTTCATGAGCGCTGGACACATCTCTCCCAACCCTGTCCCCAGACCCCAGGGGCACAAGATCCCGAGACCTGAGACCCCGAGGCCCCGGCCGCTCACGGGCTGTGTCCTCCCTGGCAGGAGGCCTGGATGGAGAGCCGGAGTGCGAGCCCAAGGCCGGCCCGGCGCTGGAGGACAGGAGCAGCGTGACCAGCCAGGAGGAGCGCAATGAGGACGAGGACGACATGGAGGACGAGTCCCTCTACACCTGCGACCACTGCCAGCAGGACTTCGAGTCGCTGGCCGACCTGACGGACCACCGGGCCCACCGCTGTCCTGGAGGTAGGCTGGCGGGCTCGTGCGCGCCGCGGTGCCGGCGGGCGGCTCGGCGGGCGGCTCGGCGGGCGATGGGACGTGGCGACAGCCGGAGGCCTCCAGTGAGACCCGGGAATTAATCATGTCATTCCACCGCGAGTGTCATTTACGGTGGCGTCTGGGGTCCCCTGCACCCGCCTCTTAAGTAATTAACAATAAACGTGAGCGCGTGCCGGCCGGCGGGAGTGGGGGGGCGGCTCCCGTCCCGGTCCCCGGTCCCCGGGTCTGTGTTCCTGGAAGGCCGTGTGGCGAGGCCGATGGGAAGAGGATGTTGGCGCCCCGGGGAGGCGGCTGAAGTGTGAGAGCAGGCGCTCCCAGGCAGGCTGGTGACGGGACGCGGGGGGTTGCCCAGGCCGGGAAGAGCCCATGCAGACTCGGACCCGGGTTCCCCTCCCCCGTGCGGGGCCTCCTGCTTGTCTGCGTGGCTGGTTGGACCAGAGGGTCGTCCTGGGCTCTGTGTCCTTGGTGCCAAGGCCAGGGGTCTGCAGGAGGATTTCAGACTTCTCACCTCGTGTGTGACCGCGTGTGTGGGGCACGGTGGGGGGTGCGTGTGTACGTGGAATGGGGGACGCTGGCACATGTATTCCCTGGCGCGTGGCAGCCGTGCTATCTGTGTTCCCACACAACGGTCTCCAGGCATCACCTTCCCTGTGATTGTTGGATGGAAATATGTTGGATGCTGGTTTATGGGGGAAAGGAACCTAGAATCTCAGTGCACTATTCCAAAGGGGATGTATTACCTGCTTTTTTGGGGGGTGGGGTGGGGTGGGGGGAATCTGCTGGTAAGAAGTAGGTTGGGCCGGGACCGGTTTGGCTCAGTGGATAGAGCATCGGCCTGCGGACTGAAAGGTCCCGGGTTTGATTCCGGGCAAGGGCATGTACCTTGGTTTCGGGCACATCTCCAGTAGGGGGTGTGCAAGAGGCAGCTGATCAATGATTCTCTCTCATCGATGTTTCTAACTCTCTATCTCTCTCTTCCTCTCTGTGAAAAATCAATAACATATATTAAAAAAAAAAAAAAAGTAGTTTGGGACTCAAAGTTCTCACTTTCTCCTACTTTGCATACGACCTTGGAAGTTTGAAAGCCAAGTATTGGGGGAAGTGCTATGACTGTCCCTCAAGTGACATCCATACCTGCACCAGCCCTGGCTAGGCCACCTGCCTGTTCTCAGTCTCTGAAGGGGACAGATACCCCAAAACAATGCTCCCAAGAGGACTCTTACAGGCTTGGCATTTCCGGGGGCTCAGCCAATCAAACCCCAGGCATTTGGGATTTGTGATGGTTCAACCACAGGCAGAGGCGATGGCCGACCTGTGGTCTTAGGATGAGGAGGCGCAGACAGGGAAGGATGCTTGCTCGACCAAGGTCACAGAGCGATTTGGTGGCCGAGCCAGGATCTCCTCGGGCCCCCCGCGGTGGACTCGGTCCTGCTTGAGAAATCCCGGATGCTATTGTATTTCTTCACTTAGCCACGGCCTGAGAATGGAATACTGCCACTTCCCTTTAGAGCACCCCAGGTGGAGCCCCTTCTGCTGATCTGCAGAAACGCCGTTCTCGTTAGCTCGGAGCAGGTCCGCCGAGGGAGGACAGTGCTCAGAGCCCTCTGCTCATCTCCAGCCCTTCCCCGAGGCCCTCCCCCGTCCTCAGAATCAAGGAGGCGTTTTATTTTAGTTTTTAGTGTATGTTTATTGATTTTTACCGAGAGGAAGGTCCCAGTTTGATTCGAGCCGAGGGCACAGGCCTGGGTGCAGGCTCTGTCCCCAACCGTGGTCAGGGTGCGTGCAGGGGGCAGCCAATCGATGTCTCTCTCTCTCTCTCTCCCTCTCTCTCTCTCCCTCTCTCTCTCTCTCTCTCTCTCTCTCTCTCTCTCTCTCTCATTGATGTTTCTCTCTGTCTCTCTTTCCCTCCCACTCTCTTAAAAAATCATGAGTGAAAGTCCATGGTTGAGGGTTAACAACAACAACAAATAGGAGAAGGGGACTTTGCTAAAATAGTGCCAGCAAAACACATACATACACACACTCACACACACACACACACACACACACACACATACACACACACACACACACACAGAAGCCCTCTTCATGGCTGCATCTCTCTGCTCAGTCGGGTGCCCGCCGGCTGAGGCCTGGGGCCAGGAGCGGTGCCAGCCCCGGGGGCAGGTCCCTCCCTCGTGGCTCAGGCCAGCGCTGCATGGAGCGCAGTGGGGAGTCATTGCACCCCGTTTGCTCAGCTGCGGCCGCGCTGACCTGGCGCCATCAGCACAGGCCGGCCTGGTGGCTGGCACCTCTGCCGCCTTGTGCCCATCTGCCCGCGGCCGGTGTGTGCCGGCTTGGCCCTCTCTGGCTCTGGCAGCGTGGGAGGGGGCCCGCCTGCCCGCCTGCCTTACCGCGTTGGGTGCCCTGGTTCTGGTGCCATTTGGGCAGAACAGAGCGGGCACGCTGCAGCCGCTGGGACGCTCTGCCAAGGGCGCAGGTGCAGGGCACCGGTGCCCTCTGCCCGGGGAGTGCCCACAGGCCCGGTGCCAGCCGCCATCTCACCGCGCACTGGCCTGGGGGCTGAGCCCAGTTGGCACCCCCAGGTGGAGCCCCTCCTGCAGGCAAACTCCGGCATCCGACGGCCACGGGACGGACAAAGACCAGGGGCCCATCTAGGAACCACGCGCCTGGGTTAGGGGGGGACCCGCCCAGGGAGGGGAGCCACCCACAGGATCAGCCAGCGGCGGACGCGGGGGAGACTGGAGACAGTGAGCAGAAAGGAGACCTTGCCCCCGGCTGGAAAGCTCCCATGTCGACAAGTCTGTGTCCCCCGAATTCACCTGTTCGCGGAGCCGATGGAGGGGCGGGGGGTCGGGCTTGATTGAGAGCTCCCCGGGAGAGAGAAACCTGCAGGGGCGGAGGGATGACAGGAGGCGGGGAGCCCGGCCTGGTGTTGGGGCCGTGGGCCAGGCCAGGGGGATGGCAGAGAGCCGGTGTGGGCCTGGTGTCCCCGCTGGGCGGTGGGGCACTGGGGCCCCCCCTCCCCAAGCAGGTGGGGTGTGGGGGAGAGGGTGGCCGCTCGGAAAAGAGGAGACCGGATCCCTGCTCTCCACACCAAACACATCCCAAACGGACCAGAAACCCAAACACGAAAAGAAAACTTAAAAATACGGAGAGCAAACAAGCAGTTTTAAAAAAAAAACACCAAAATAAAATAGCATCCGAGGGGGAAGCCTGTTCTAAATATAACCCTCCGCCCAGGGGCCATAAAACAAAAGACAGAATATTCGGCCGCGTGGAGATAAAAGGCGTCCGCGCTGCCCAGGCTGCAGTCAGTCAGGCTGGGGACACCCGCCGCCGGCCTCAGCCGTGGTTCTGAGTGTGCGAGGCGCCCCGGGAAACACCCATAATCCCCGGGACCCGGGGCCCAGGCCCGGGGGAGGGGGGGCGAGGCCAGCGCCACGGGGATGGGCTGTTAGCGCACCGGTCTCTCGGCAGTTTGAATACCTCCCGTGTGCAGAGGGCAGAGATGGAACCAGAAAAAGAAATACCACTGACCTTACATGTTTAGAAAGATTCAGAACTGTCCGTGTAAACCACAGAAAATACCTTTTTTTTTCTTTTCTTTTTTTAACCATCAGACTGTGTGTTCTTGGTGCCGAAGCTCGGCGGGTCTTGGCCTCCTCTGCCCGCAGGGTCGCCGTGGCCCGGGGCTGGAGCGCACAGTAGGTGCTCAGTGAATGGTTGCTGATCTTGCCCCCACGGAGGCTGAGGCCGGCGTGAGGGCCCGAGGTGTCCGGGATAAGGGAGACCGTGGGAACGCCACGGGTAAAGGGCTTGGAGGCGGGAGACGGCAGGAGTGAAAGATCCACGGCTGTGCCCGGACACATAGTAGGTCTTCTGTTAACGGGGGACCAGAACGGGGAGCTTAGAGCAGGAAGAGAGGATTTTCCGACATCAAATCCCTGTTGAGCATGGACTGCGCCTGGGGGCGGAGGAAGTGAGTCCGGGCCCTCCGAGGCCAGAGCGGGGACCCCACGGGGACCCCACACCGGAGGAGGGCTTCCCGGAGGGCGCATCCGATGACCGCAGGGCCGGGGGAGCGGGACGCCGAGGTGGGGGTCCAGGGGCTGGCACTGAGCAACGCTGCAGGCCCCTCTGCACCCTGAGACCCTGCGCGGGGCACCCCTTCCCCGACACCTTCCCCGGGAAGAGCAGAGAGCACCCCGAACAAAACGAGAGCCAGTCCGGTGTCTCCTGCTGGCCGGGCGTGCGTTCCTGAGGGCAGCGGGCGGGGTCGGCACGTTCTTCCTCGCACCCCGCACCCCCCCGGCTGGCCTCGGAGGCTGGGGCCGCCCCGCGGGGGCCAGGAGGGGGGCAGGGACCCCTGGAACGGGGCTCGGGCCGGGCCTGGAACGGAGCGGAGCTGTCGGTGGCGGGCTTGGCCGCGTGTTGAAACGCCAAGTACCAGCCCAGGGGAGGATGTGCAGGGGATTCCAAACGGCTCCCCTTTCTGCTCCGCGGCTCTGTTCTGGAGGCGATGGCTTTGGAAATGACATCGGTGCCTGGAGGGAGTGCGGGGGGAGTAGGATGGAGGCCGGAGTCTCTGCCCCCCACGCCATGGGCTGTGCGAGTCAGCGCCGCCTAGGGGCGGAGGTCCGCTCAGTCTGAGTGGGTCTGCCCCTCTGAGGATGGGTAGGGGCGAGGTGAGGAGGGGAGGGCAGGAGGGGACCGGGGAGGGCAGGAGGGGACTGGCATCTGCCTGTGGCCTCCCAGCCCCTTCCCAGCGTCTGCTCCCAAGGCAGCTTCTGCCTGAGTCCCGCACTCCCCCCTCCCCTGCACCCCAGGGCCTTTGCACAACCTCCCCCTCCCCGCGCACACTCACATGCCTGTGCAGGCTGTGCTTGGAGAGCTCCTCCAGCTCCGAGTGGGTCTCCTGCACCGCCAGCCTCTGAGTGCGGCCCTCTGACACCCCCCCCCTCCCC